ATTTGCTCGGTATTGCTAGAAAAAACTAGGTACAACTCGGTATTTGCTAGATATTTGAAATATATCCAAAAGGTGATGGGATGTTGTTCGGCTCGTCAAGGAATTAAAAAAACGCACGCGCTAGAACCCAAAAAACAGCGGGTCGGGTCGGCTACTTTTCTTCATGCTACGTGGCGCTAAAACGTTGGTGGCCGAACGTAGAGGAGCGTACGTTCACCGAACCAAATAAAAGTTCCTTCGTTTGGGACGGTTTTTTTTATTACTTCTTAAGGTAATTTTTAATAAAAAATTAAAATTTTTTACTAGAAAGTTTCTTTAAGAAGCAGTAAAAAAGCCGTCCCAAACGAAACCTTAGTCTGATATAATGCTTTACCTTCTTTCTCAATTGAATGAACCATGGTTTCCATCCTTGCGTTTGCTTTGGTGTTGCGTGACACGTGATACAGAAGTGCTTATTGACTGAATTTTTTTTATTTAGTTTAGGCATTGATTTAAATGAGAGTTTGACTCTTAACAAAACACAATGGAGAGAAAGAATTCATGTAATTGATCCCACGTAATGGGATAAAGGCTTGATATTGTTGTTGTAGTAGATTAGGTATTACTTACTCCTAAAAACTGATATGACTTGTGCTTATTGAGCATTATTTGGTCTCTTATTTCTTTTTTTCTTTTCTTTTTTTTTCTTATTTCTCTTTCTGGTTGCTAAATCTAACCCTTGCATGACAATATAATTAAGTTTCTGTTTCAGCATGTAAGATTAAACCACTAACGATCAGTTGACAAATGTTCCTTTTCCAGATAATTAATGATTACAAGGATTTAGCATTCACAGAATATGCAAGAGTTGGAAGGGCTTTGTTGTTGTATGAGATTGGTGACAGGGAGCAGGCTATTACCGAGATGGAGGATGTTTCAATCTCTCTGAAAGGCTATCCTGGTATGGCTACTCAGCTCTCCAGATTGCAGGTTGAATTATATTTGGTTTAACGTACTTTGAAATCAATAATGATTTTAAACACCTTCAAATTACCTCGAAAGAGATTATTTGATTTTCTTAGTTACAATGAGTAAAAACGAAATGAGTATTTTTCAAAAGTTGTTTTTTACTTGCAAGAGATCAAATGAGCCCCTAAGTAATCTTTTTTTTCTTGGAAATTATTCTATCTTATGAATGTTCTTATATTTATGGTGTTTTCCCATTGTGATTTTTAACGTAGCAGGCATATGTCAGTGGAAGTGAACATTTAGAATTCGTTTGGGACGGCTTTTTTACTGCTTCTTTAAGCAGTTTTCTAGTAATTTTCTGTACTAGAAAGCTGCTTTAAGAAACAGTAAGAAAGTTGTCCCAAACGAAGTTTTAGATGACTTGGAGAAGTTAATCTTCTTCTTACAATGCCTTGTATTTTTTTGCAGAGATCCATGCAGCTCTTGCAGCTGCACTCTACACAGATAAACATGCTCCTTTACTGGCTGAGAATCAGTTCACAATTGCCACTATTCTTGATCCTTGCTACGCAGATCTTTCGTATGTAAGAGAGAAGAAACACTGGCCACCAAGTTTGGTTAGCTCTTTACAGAACTTCATTACGCTCTCTTAAGAACTCAAATCTATCTTTTTAGGAAGAAAATGGTTGTACACATAACATTATATTGTAATCTTTAGGAAAAATTTACTATTCTGTGAAATTTAATGAATAGCCTTAGTCTTATCCTTGGGGAAAAAATAAATCTTAGGCGGTGTTCACGGAGCGCTGAATTTACTGTAATTTGTTCTTGCACTCACGTATGCAGCAGCAAGGACCTATAGACCTATATCCATGACTTAAAAAAAAAAAAAGGACCTATATCCATTGATTTTCCGATTTTTTATTCTCTCCTTTGATACTCCTTGGTTTTTAAAATTTTATTAATCAAATTTAATGGCTTCCATATGTTTTTATTCTCTTTTGTTGGGAGGTGATTTGTGTTAGAACACTAATTAATTAAGATTACTGTATTAATTACTTCTCTTTACTTATTGTGAACCAATAGATTTTGTACACGTTTATGTTCCTTTACCTATGCCTATATATAGGCACCTGTACTACGTTTTATATCATCCAATAAGAAATTTTGTTTCCTTTCGTTCTTGTCCTATTCTACTTCGTCTTCCTCAGGTCCGGCGACTCTCACTGGATCAATAGTTTCTACATGGTATCAGTAGCGGGCTGATCCTCCGGCCAGCTCACACTCATGGATTCTGCGTCACCTCCTTCCTCGACTCCGACGATCATCTTCAATCCAACAGATCAGTCGAAGACGAGTCTCTATCCCTCTCTCAAATTTATAATCGCTAATCTCAAAACTCTCGTGCCTCATCATCTCACGTCAGATAACTATCAGATCTGGCGCACTCAGATTGTCAAGCTCTTCAAAGCCAACCGTTTCGATAAATTTCTTGAATCTTCATCCCATCCGGATCAAGAAAATCAAGATTCAAACTACAATGCTGATTCTTGGAATTTCACCGATCAAAATCTAGCTGCCGCGATCTGTTCAACCATTTCGGCTCCGGTACTCCCCTATGTTATGCATCTCGAATCTACTTCTAAAATCTGGCAGGCTCTACAAGTTCGGTTCCAATCAACGGACCGATCCAAAGTTATGCAACTCAAAAATGAGTTAAACAATATAGCCATGAAGAACATGTCTATGCAAAATTACCTGACGGAAATCAAGAAGATCGTTGACAATATCGCTGCAGCCGGTTCAACTATTGATACAGAGGATATTATCCTGCATATTCTGAATGGTTTACCACCAACCTATCAATCTTTTAAGACTTCTATCAAACATCTGCAGTCGCCCCTTACGCTAGATAATCTTTATGCTATGCTCGTCAGTGAAGAAATTCATCTTCAAAATGACTCTATGCGTCTTGCCACTACTCAAGAACCTCAAATTGCGCTCTATGCTCAACGTGGTCGTGGTCGGCGTGGTCGCGGATGAAATCCGACAACGTCCACTAACCCTTCGAAACAAACCGCAAAATCCTCCATCACATGCCAGATTTGTCTTAAACGAGGGCATACTGCGGATATCTGTTGGCATCGTCATGATGCGAACTATATCACACAACGCTCTCAGCCTGATTCCAATAATGCGTTGTTTGCATCTATGGAAGCTCCAACTTCGGATTGGTATCTTGACTCCGGCGCATCGGCTCACATGACCAACAAAAGCGACCAATTGCTTCAAGGTTCTGTATATCAAGGTACTGATCAGGTGATGGTTGGTGATGGCCGAACAGTTCCTATTGCTCACTCGGGACTGGGTCTTCTCCCCACACCGGATCGTAAGTTGCTCCTGTCTAATTTACTTCATATTCCAGCCATATCTCACAATCTCTTATCTATATCTAAACTCGTCTCTACAAACAACATTTCTATTACATTTACTCCTAATGGTTTTACTCTGAAGGATTTGCAGACCAATCAACCTCTTCTCAGCGGACCGTGTAACAATGGGTTATATCCCATAGAGATGCCTCGAACATCAATAAACGCTCTGTCTGCAGTGCAAACTACTCGCATAAATTGGCATGAGCGGCTGGGTCATCCTCAGCAACGAACACTGCATCAGATATCTCGGAACAACCCGCATCTTCACATTTCTTTCTCGCATAATGATTGTATCTCCTGTAAACTCTGCAAAAATCATAAACTCCCTTTCGATAGATCTGTAACTCATACTACCAAACCTCTTGAACTTTTACATTCTGACGTGTGGGGACCTTCTCCGGTCACCACAAAACAGGGATTTAGATATTATCTGCTCATAATAGATGATTACTCGCGTTATTCTTGGATATTTCCTGTATTGTTCAAATCTGATGTTATGCATACTTTTATTAATTTCATTAAACTCATCGAAAATCAAACGAATCACAAAGTTAAAACTATCCGCACTGATGGCGGTGGCGAGTATATGCATCATCAATTACAACAATACTTTACTTCCAAGGGCATTCAGCATCAGGTTTCTTGCGCTTACACACCGGAACAAAAAGGGGTGTCTGAGCGCAAACACCGTCACATTTTGGAAATGGCGCGAACTATGTTACAAACTGCATCCATACCTCATCATTTTTGGCATGAAGCGGTCACTACAGCGGTATATCTGATCAACAGATTACCTTCACCTACTATCAACCGTAAATCACCTACAACTTATGTTCAACAAAGATCCGGACTACAATCACCTCAGAACGTTCGGGTGTGCTTGTTTCCCGTGTCTTCCTCCGCACACCTCAACCAAGCTACAACCAAATTCGGTCTTATGTGTATTCATGGGTTACTCGGTTACTCAAAAAGGATACAAATGTTTAAACTTTGCAACAAACAACATCTCTGTTTCTCGACATGTCAAATTTATTGAAAATATGTTTCCTTTTCATAATAAACCCACATTGTCCACTCCTCTAACGCAGGATCTACCTCCTCAACTGCTTATTCCAGTTTCCAAAGCTGCAGAGGACGCTCTTGTCAGAACAAATATAGCGCCTTCCTTGTCACCAATCCAAGCTCCGTCTCCTACTACATCTGGGTCTCCTCCTAGCTCATCATCTCTGCAGTTTGATTCCGATCCAGTGCCAGTCCCCATCAAACATCCCATGACCACAAGATTTCAAACGGGCTCACTCAAACCTATATGTCGTCTGAATTTGCTTCACCAAGTCGAGCAAAGTGCTCAACAACATGTTCCCACCATCTATTCCGATGCCAGTAAACATGTTGAATGGCGTCAAGCTATGGCGGAAGAGTTCGCTACTTTGTAACAACAAGGCACTTGGCTACTAGTTCCCCCTCCGCAAAACGCATCCATACTGGGATGTAAATGGACATTTAGAAATAAGTTCAACTCAAACGGATCGGTTTCCAGATATAAGGCTCGCCTAGTTGCTCAGGGGAACCGTCGAGAACATGGTCTGGACTATGAAGAAACGTTTAGCCCAGTGGCTAAACTTCCGACCATCAAAGTGTTATTCACAGTAGCGCTTTATCATGGATGGACAGTACAGCAACTTGATGTCAACAATGCATTTCTTCATGGCACATTAACGGAGACCATATTCATGTGGCAACCCAAAGGCTTCGAAGACAATATGTATCCCGGTCACGTCTGCCACTTAAAGAAGGCTATCTACGGGCTCAAACAAGCTCCTCGGCAGTGGTACACCACCTTCACCAATCACCTACTTACCAGTGGTTTTCAACACAGCCAAGCCGATCCATCCCTTCTCATCTATCGACGGCACGATGTTCAGATTTTTCTTCTAGTATATGTAGACGATATTCTCATTACCGGGAATAATGAATCAGCTATTTCGAACCTGCTGATCAACCTCAACTCTCAATTCAGCATGAAACACCTCGGTCCAGCCAGTTAATTTCTCGGCATCTCCATACAATCCACAAAAGATACGTATTTTCTCTCTCAATCTGCTTATGCCCTATCTCTTCTACAACAAACTAATTTGGCTAAATGTAATTCTCTGTCTAATCCCTCTGTCACGAAACAGCCATCCAATTTCAAGCCAGATAATACCATTTCTGATGCTACTGTCTACCGTCGCATAACTGGAGGACTGCAATATCTCACCATAACGCGTCCTGATATAGCTCATTCCGTCAACAATCTCGCTCAACACATGCATGATCCTGCACCTGTTCATCTCTATCTTCTCAAGCGGCTACTTCGTTATATTAAAGGGACGATCAATTTCGGACTACCCATCATAAAATCCAATCTGCAGCTTAGAACGTTCTCGGACGCCGACTGGGCCGGTGACCCGATCACCAGAAAATCAACAACCGGCTTCTGTACATTTCTCGGCGACAACCTGGTATCGTGGACCGTAAAGAAACAAACTACTGTATCTAGATCCTCCATAGAGTCGGAATACAGAGCATTGGCCGCTGCCACAGCGGACATCATTTGGCTGCGGCGTCTCATTGCAGATTTCAACATTTCGCATGATCAACCTATCTCCATCTACTGCGACAACACGTCGGCGATCGCACTGGCTAACAATCCAGTGTTTCACGCGAGGACCAAACACATTGAGATTGATCAAAGGTTCATCCGAGATCATATCCAGCACAATACAATTCGATTGCTCCCTATTAGCACAGTGGATCAGATCGCGGATATCTTCACAAAATCTTTACACACTCTTCGGTTTAAACAGCTCCGCTCCAAACTGACGCTCAGGGAAGAAACATCAGTTTGCGGGAAGATGTTAGAACACTAATTAATTAAGATTACTGTATTAATTACTTCTCTTTACTTATTGTGAACCAATAGATTTTGTACACGTTTCTGTTCCTTTACCTATGCCTATATATAGGCACCTATACTACGTTTTATATCATCCAATAAGAAATTATGTTTCCTTTCGTTCTTGTCCTATTCTACTTCGTCTTCCTCATGTCCGGCGACTCTCACCGGATCAATAGTTTCTACAATTTGGACATCTGACTTATCTTTTGAACATTAGAGCAAACATCACTAGATGAAAGTGGGGGAGTCAATTTTTGACCCGGCTCGAACCCGATTCGAAAAATCCAGATTAAGATCGACCCGATAAAGAAACGGGTTTAGTTCGGGTCCTATTTTTGGACCCGTTTATAGTTCGGGTCAAGTTCAGGTCATCCCAAAAATTGGATTTGACCCAAATTGACATGATGTTAACTATTGCCTGTCAGCGGTAAGCCCTTCGTCCTTCTCGGCTTCTCCAACCGCATTGTTGCTGCCAACTGCCGAGCTTGAGAAAGCCCCTAGCAAGCCTAGCCCAGATCGCTGACTATCAGAATGCCCTACCTGCACTAGCGCACTTGGATCTAACTGTCGGACAACACTCGCGATCGACTAGTCGACCTCGACCCTCGAAGACTAGGGCTTAGGGCTAGACGCGGCACATTGCACTGCCAACTACTGCACGACCTGCACTGGTGCAATTGCCAACTCATGCTTGACGGAACAACTAGCCCCGCGCACTAGAGCAGTCTCGACCGAACCTAAACCCTATTCTGGGTTCGCGGATTGGGTTGGGTCAACTCATGACCCGTGCGGGTCAAGTCCGGGTTGAAAATCTAGACCTATTTGTTAAATTGGATCGGGTTTCGATCAACCCGTTTATGCTCGGGTCAACTCGGGTTGAACCCTCGGGTTGAACCCCTAAATGAAAGTCCGGACTGTAATGTAGCAGCAGCTTAGCATAGCTGCATAGAGGATCGTTAATGGATGTTCTTTTGGATTCAACTGTCTAACTCGATGGATTGGTTTTTTGAAAAAGGTTATGGATAGTGGAGTTCTGTGCATTGCCACCGTGCCTGTTCTTCAGTGAGCTACCGAATATTTCCCTTTTTCCTTCCAACAGTTCAATTTGAATAAAAATTCATTAGTTTTGATCTTCGAAGTGGAAATGCTGATCAACAATGAGTATGACTGTTTTTTCATAATTTTATTTATTTGCAATTTATTCATTAATGGATAATTGATCTGATCAGAAGCTGTTGCATTTATTCGTGGGTACTTGGAAATTCATTCAAGGGGGAATTGTGACGGTTTTTTCATAATTTTATTTATTTTGATATAATTTGCTTCTTTTTTTTTTTCTTTCACGAAAATTGAAATTCTAATGAAGTTTTTACAATGAAATCTGTTATAAACATTTTTTTTTCTGATATTTAAAAAACCTATAACATGTATGGTAATCCTCAATTTTTTTATTTTTCTCAAAATAGTAAAACGGATTCTAATCCTGATATATATATATATATTGGGGGAAAGAATAGAATTTATGTTGAAATAATTTTGGTCAAAATATCTTGAACAATTATTCTTTTATCACAATGAATTCTTAAATTTTATTTTGAGATGTGTAGTACAAATTATTAAATTATTATATTCATTTTATAAAAATTATAATTTATTTATATATAAAATTGATATCTGAATTAATTTAAGAGTTCTAAAATTTATCCTAATTAATTGATTATCAAGAAATTCATCTAAGTACTGTTATTATATATACATTCGTAAGTATAATCAGAGGGGAAAATCTTATAAATGCCTAATGAATTATTTGCATTATCTAATAATCTAATTATATTTATCTAACAATTTAGTTACATTTACTAATAGTCTAGTACTTAAACTTTTATATTTATTTATATAATATTTTAATGTCTAGATCATAACATATAAAAAATATATAGCAATTCAGCTTGCTGGTTTGTGAGTGCATTAGATGTACTAATCTCATAAAAATTTATTTAAAAATAAATATTATACAATATAGTATTATAGTATACTAATCCCATAAATTTTTTTATTAATTTATTACAAAAGTATTTAAAAAGAAATATAATATATAAAGTCAATTAAAATTTATAGTGTACTAATCTCATAATTTTTTTTTATAAATTTAAAATTTAATTAGCTTGCTGGTTTGTGAGAGCATAGTGAGCTATGTACTGTTTGTGGGACCAGGTGAGCCAAACTAGCAAGTAGCAACCGCCTTGCGGACACCGAATCGTATGGAGGCAAATCAAAACGCACCATATCACTCGATACACAGCGGTACATAGTTGCGGTATGCAATAAACGGGTGACATGACGCGTCCTGATTCACCTCCGAACAACATCCATATCCACACAAAATAATTTCGCCAGTCACACAGCCAGTCATCCATGCTGGCAACCACAACATTTTTCCTGTATGCAATCAGAACAAATAGACATTTGATCTCAATACAATTATCAACAATGAAGGAATCTGCAGAATCAGGCAAAACATGGAAAGCTTGCATGTGGTTTATTAAGCTGCTGATGGTCCAGTCCTGATGTATCCAAGACTTCTCAACTTGCCAATGAGTTTCCTCTCTGCAGTAGCCTGAAACCAAATTCCCACAATAAATTAGATCATAATCAAAATAAAGTATCAATTAATTTATCTTTCTAGGTATTGTGGCCTAGGGATGTAAACGAGTCGAGTCAAATATGAACAAACTCGATCGAGATTGATAATTAATTGAATTAGACACCGAGCTCAATTCTATGATTTGAATCGGAACAAGTCCTAGCTCATTCAAATAGTAGTCGTGATAAAAAAAATGAAACAAAAAAAAAAGAAAAATTAGTAGTAAAAATCACATAAGAAATAGATATAATTTTTATATATTTTGAATAATTTACGTTTAAACATTTGAATTCTAATATATTATATTTTATATTAACATTTTTTTAACGAGTTGGCCACATAATGATAAGTTGAGTTGAGCTTATTTAGATTTTATTTGGGACAACTTTTTTACTGATTTTTAAAACAATTTTTTAGAACAAAAATTTCATGAACTAAAAATTTTTGTACTAAAAAGCTGCTTTAACAAGCAGAAAGAAAGATGTCCCAAACGAAACCTTAAGCTTAGCTTATTAGCTCTCATCAAATTTGACTAACAAATCAGCTTGACTCAATTACCCATCAGCTAATCAGCTTCACTCAGTTACCCATCAGCTAATCAGCTTGACTCAAGTACCCAGCCGAGATCATAGTTGTGTCGTGATCGTGCAAAAAAATAAATAAATAATAAAAAAATTATTATTAAAAAAAAAAGTACCCAGCTTCTGGTTTACAGTTCACATTCACATATTATGTTTAGATTTTAGAATACCTCAAGAATTGGGCTGTCCTTTGGAAGATTGCATGCAAGAACTACACTAAGACCTGTCTTCAATACTGAATGTAGAATCACCAAAAGTCGAACAAAGAATCAAAGAATGGAAGGAGAAAAGGAAAACAACAAATGAAGATATGAATGTACCAAGCCGGAGCGCCATGCTTGATCCAGTGTTGTCAGCATTGCCCTTGAGCAAGGATGTAACACTAACAGTATTGCTCTGCAAAACATCAAATTAGTGTTTAGGCTTCGTTTGGGGAGAAATTATTCCGTGCGGAGTCCATATGTAGAGTTATGTCCGGACTCTAATAAAAACGTGACATGTGTCCTTGTAAATAGTGTGTACAAATTTGTACACACTGTGTACACAGTGTGTATATTATGTATAAAAGTTTGTAGACACTATGTACATAACTTTGTAATTTGTATATAGTATGTATAGTTATACACTATTTACAAGGACACGGGTCACGTTTTTATTGGAGTCCAGACTCATAATATCATTCGTTTGGGATGACTTTTTACTGTTTCTTAAAATAATTTTTTAATAAAAAATTAAAATTTTTGTACTAATAAGTTGTTTTAAGAAGCTAGAAGAAAACTGTCCCAAACGAAACCTAAATGTTTATCGGGAAATCAATTGTATTAGTTTTAATATAGAAAGAGTTGGAAGAAGTCCAATTACAGGTCGAGTGGGTGCAGCAGCATATAAATGCCCAAATTTGGCAGAGTTGCATCCTATCCATGCATATATCTGTATGCAAATTATAGCAAGAAGGAACATCAGCGGCCATAAAAGAAATCAAAGCGACAGTAATCAACAAAAGATGTGAAGTAAGAAATAGAAAGCCAGTTAATAAAGGGAGAAGCAGCCAAGAAGAAAAGATATAGAGCTGTTATGCATACATTTATTTAACAAGAATATTATGAGGTTTATTTCGTTCGATGAGAAGTATAGTTTTAGGGAATCTTCAAAATGGATAGAGAGCTCAAAATATTTCTTTAAAAGCTATAATATGACTAATTCACAAGAAGTTAAATTGCAAATACAAACCTAATTGATATTCTCAATTATTTCAACAAACTATTGCAATAAAATAAAACATACATAGGCAAATATGAAGAAGCATGCTTAAGGAATAATGTTTGTCATGCAGTGATTATAGGAATCAACTGCAAGCCCAATTTAAGAGTTATCAAATTTAAAAGTGCACAATTCCTCACGATTAATCTTTAAGTCATTTGGTTAATTTTCTTTAAAGAGGTTTCTTTTTTATCATAAGAGAGCTTTATGATACTTTATAAATATCTTTTTAAGTTTTCTTGATATTTTCCTCTTCTTAATATTACCTGTATTATATCCATTAAGAAGCATATCACGAATTTAGTTTTACAATGCATCACACCACATTGCACTATTCATTACTTGTATGTATGATTTGGATGAAAAATATTTACAAAAGGGAATCTCCTCGTACAAAAGGCTTACTTTTTCTGATTTTGTGATTTTTTTTTTTAACTTTTACTTGTAGCTTTTCTAAATCTCATCAAGGTTTTGCAGAAGTGGAAGATTTATTCATGCTGGATACAATATGATTTTGTACAAATGCATGGATTTAAAAATAATTGTATGATTTTTAGTAGTTTTGAATTTTTATGTGTTATTTCTAGTACAAGGCTATTAAATTATCAACTACAACATATTTCTATGTTTTTGGGTTTTCACATTAAGTAATGAATAATTGTCTAAATTAAGAGTTTATAATCTAAGAACTTGAGTTTGTCTATATGGTTATGTACGTCATATTATAGATCTATATTTTTAACCCTAAAGCCTAAGATTTTCTAATGTCAATTGCACCATCTTCCATGCACTAGATGTAATCTTAGTCTACCATGTGTCAATCACCTAAAAGAATCATCCATCACAAGCCAATAACCTATGACTCGACTAAATTCTTCTTGCCACTCTCATGTATTAGATGTTCATTCGAAATCAATTCAATTTATCTTCCGAACAGGAAAATTTGTCACCAACCTTTTAGCGTGACTCTACAATGATAAATACATAACAAAAAATTTTGCTAAGATTCAATGTCATTTGTCGATCAATCCATCCACCAACCCACCAACGACACTCTAACCAACATCCACCACATTCCATGCATGATTATAAAATGTGTTAACATTAGATCAAACTCTACAGCACTTGCTGAAATATCACTAAACATTCACATCTTGCCATTCTCCCTCACCCTATTACTAAAAAGTTTTTCTCAAAAGTTTTTTTCATCTTCTTCCTCTTCTTCTTTCTCAAGTTCTCTACAATCTTCTCCAATCCTCTCTAATTTTATCTAATCCTCTCAAAGAGGCATCTTTAATCATCTTCGAATGACCTTTTTTTTTTCTTTATATTACTTGTGAAAGATCATTTTAATTGTACTCAAAAGATATAGTGGATTTTTCTCTCTTTCTCTGAACAATGAATGTAGGCCATTAAGACATACTATAAAACTTTGGGTGTTCTTCATGACTTTAGTTGTCCTGTCTTGTGAATCCCCCAATCCCCCCCCCCCCCCCCCCCCACTCCCTAACCCCCCCCCCGCCACACACACACACTCTTCCGTATGAGTACCATAGTTTATCAATGTATCTCTAAATTCTAAGCATGTTCTAGCACACATATCCTCCTTTCAGGAGGGCCAACTATCCTCAAGTTCATAATGTAGAGCATCTTCTACTTCAAATCTTGAAAGTAGATGAAAAACTACAAAATTGGATATAACTGAAAGAGATTTAGACATTAAAGAGATCGAGCATCAATTAACGGAGAAAGAGATTAACACATTATGCAGAAATTTAAAAAAACAAAAGACGAACTTAAAATCAATGTTCATAACCCAAAACAGTCGAAATAAAGCTACTGATGATGAGTGTTATAAGACAATAAGTTATTTCAGATGTGAACTATGGAGCGAATAATAAGAATAGCTTAAAACCCACTTGCTTGCAAAATAACTCAAGGAAAAAAAAAACATTGGACCTTAATAATAATTAGGGGATTTACATACATACCATGGTTTACATACATACCATCGAATTCATATATATATTTATATATATAACACATAAATTCTTATGTTTATCCATATAACAATCAAAACTTTAAATCGCATAAAAAAATATTATCATTATTAAGTTTCCTAAACTGAAAGTCTGAAATACATATTTTGATTTATATATTTTGATGTGAATTAGATATAAATTTTTACATGAATAAATATTAAAGTATAGGTATTAGATATGAAATACATAAAAAATTAGTGGTATCTATGTAAATCTCTCTAATAATTATATAAAATAGGAAAGCATTTTTTTTCTTCTATCATACTTCATGAAAATTAAAGACCCTAATGTACACCTCAAAGGCTAAGAATGGTGAAACGTTAACCAATACAAAACTTCATTTTTTAATTAATTATCTACTTGGTACAAATGCCCCAAAAATCCAATCAAATAGTAAGAATGGTACAATTTCTAGAAGGTAATATGACATATTAAGCTAAAATCAACTCACTTGTTTGGAGAACCGTATGATTTGAAAATGAAGAGTGGCATCATGCAGATCCTCCGTGAAACATGTGATTTGTACATCATCATTTAGAGCATCATCTCTAGCCTTTAATTCACCATTCGGCTCTGGTTCCCCACTGGCATTCAACTTCAATAGTTTCACTTCTAAATTGCTAGTTTCCATACGCTAATTTTGTATAGCCTACAAAAAAAATTTATAGCTGAATTAAATAGCTCAAGAACTTACCCATATACCTACTTAGAGTTCAACAAAATAACATAAGCTTATGATAGGTGAAGAAAGTTCAATTAGGGCTTTTGGTAGAAATACAAAGACCTGACAGAACTTTTATGGGAAGTCTAGGAAATCCAAACAGAAAGAACCCAATAGAAGTAAACACAATAAAAAATTGCGGTGAAATATCAAGAGCTTCTAAGTAGAGAACAAGGAGTAAAAGGTATAAGGTAGAGTTAAAGAGAGCAAACTATTCAAACCAATGGAAAAACAATGGAGAAGGGGTAAAATAGAAAAAATGAGAGAGAAAGAGACGACCTATAGTAGCTAGTTGTCTAGTCGAGAAGAGAAAAAATTTGGAGATAATGGCATCCCAACTACTACTTTGAGGAGAATGGTGTGAACAAGAGATATTAGTGGCTAAAAAATGTCATCTAGTTTTTTCTTTTTTTTTTTTAAATAATGATTTAAAATTTTGCAAAACAAAAGAATAATTTATACTATTTTATCAATAAAGGAACTAATCACTAATCATATGCTTATGATAGATTTTTTTAAATATTACCAGTAATATTAAATCTTAAATTTAAATTTTTATAGTTACTATTATGATTCGTTGAAAATTTTCAGTATGGCATTCTAATAATCTACATGCATGTCAATCAGACCAGATAATACTATCAATAGAAGGGTACTACAGACAATCATATCCATTAAAGACACTAGCATGGTTTATATGCATGCTGTAATGAGCAAGGTAAAATAACAATGGGATGATGAACAAATTAACACAATGTACTTCATAGCAATAGATAGAATGTACAAGTAAATTTAATAGCGATATCATATTCTTCATTTCAAGAGTACTGAATTAATGCAAAATTTGCCAAGTCAAAGCTAACCAAATGATATTGATCTAAACAAAAAATAAATAAAAATCATAAAAGATTATTGATAGTTCATTAAATATAGATGAGACCTATAAAAAGTGCCAAGAAAAATGCCCCTAGCAAGGGTAAGTTATGTCAACCACATAACCTCACCTTCCTACAGACAATCAATCAGAAACTCATAAATCAAATAAGTCATTCAAATGCAATAATCCTCTCATTTTGAATAAGAAGGAAAGATGGGCATCACTATAAGGCAAAAGCTCACCCACAACAAACAATATATGAGTATATTGGGCAATAGGCCAAACCAATTCAAATACAAACAATGAAAATAACAAAAATATAAAACAAAAAAGAAGACAATGCACACAAAAAATACAATAATTTTAGGCAGGGTCACCAAATCACTATTGATTGTGGAGAATTACAGTCCTAATTTTTCTCTATGAATAAAAAACCGAGTGCGATCAAGAAATACAATATAAATTTCAAAAAGTCCTTGGCAAATAATCACAAATATTTCATGTTTGTAGGGGCACCGCCTCAAACCTCAGGAGGGGATTCCCTACCCCCTACAACAATCTTACCATGAAGGCCAACTAGCGACTAAGTCTGCATGGCTGTCTTCATAGAAACTAGGATACACAACTTAGCAGAATAAAGTGCAAGAATCAACTCACTCAGGCATGCAGATTTTACAGTTTAAACCTCAGGCAATCATAAGGAACTCTACATTGGCAATCTCCTCCTATAAGTAATTATGAGAAAATAAGCAACACAAACCGGCATGCATGATCTCAAAAACACGGAAACACCTTCACATAAGACTCATTCACAGTTAGGGGCTGTTTGGTATCGGATTTACAGCGGGATTTAAGTCGGATTTACGCTAAAAATCCAGCCAAACAGTTTTTGTGCGCACGTTATTAATTGTATAAATAATAATTAATGGGTAATTTGTACTTAACATATTATTAAATTTATAACACATTATATTTTTTATTTTTAAGTTATAATTATCTTCTTCATATTTAAATGTCTAACTGCTATAAATCCTGAAATATGTTACCAAACAGTTTTTTCGGATTTAACAGGATTTAACATTTGGTATACCAAATAGTTTTCATGATTTAACACATTTTGGATTTATTAAATTCGGATTTACAGAATTTACTAAATCCCATTAAAATTAAATCCCACTTGTTGCCAATCAGCCCCTTAAGCACATCCTATTTTCACGTACGAGAAGCAAAATTTCTCCATATACAAGCAGGCATTGTAAATACAAGAAGCAGAACTGCTCAACAAATCATAAAATAAAAGAGAGAGTGGTTAGCATACAAACCTCATATCTTAGACATTATTAAAGTAAATCATAGAAATAGATCAATTAGTTCATACACAACCAATAATTATTCAAGCTACCAAACAATTAATCACTACAATAATCAAATCATAATGTGATAAGATTGCCTACTCAGCACCAAAAAAAAAAAACCTATAAATTATAGCCATAGAGATTTATGATTTCTAGGTTACAAAAATTAGTTAATATGAGGGGGTGTTTCGTATCGGATTTGGCATCAAATTTTAAGTAGGATTTAACTTAAATCTAGTCAAACATATTTTCCGCGGAAGTGTAAATTCTGGGAATCCGTAAATCCGGGAATTAGGGATTTATGGCATAAATCCTGTTAAATCCTGATAAATCTTAATCCCATGCTTCCATGAATTTAACCTGACGGTTGCTCCAAGTTCCTTCCCGTGGCGCCTGTGTCGCGAAGCTCGCGCGAACTTTTGATCCACAATTGCTTTCGGCGGATTTATGGGATTTGGCCGAAGAAGCGCACAAAAGGGAGAAAATTACCTTCACAGCCAGCGAGCTCCCGATCAAAATGTCGTAGCTTCAGATCCTAACAGGAAGCGAAAATCATCGAAGGAGCGAAGTAGAACAGCCACGAACTACACCTCCTGCGAAGCACGAAGCCGAACAGCAACGACGAAAAGAGAAGATAAAAAGTCGAGACGCCTAAAGTTATTATTGATTAATTTAATTAAATAATTTAAAACATGAATAATTAAGTAATTAATAGTATAATTAGTGCGAAACATAACTCATCTTAGGGCTGTCAATTCGTGTCGGCGGGTTGTGTTCGGGTCGCAACAAATTCGCCAACGAGAAAATTTGCTATAATTTTTGTAATTCTTTCTTTTAAAGTAATTTATTAATCCAAAGAAGCCACCAATATTATTTTTTGGACATATGACTTTTACTCCTCTCTCGCGACTCACGAGTCACAATTTCGAGCACACGGCTATCGATCGGCCCCCCTGAACAAAATTTCTGGCTCCGCCACTGGTTAGGACACAATATTTTATTAAATTTACAACATATTAATTTTTTATTTTGAATTATAAATTTAACTTTTTATTTATAATTATCTTTTTCACACTTAAATCTCAGTATTTAACTTGATTTAATATTTATCATATCAAATAATTTTCCTGATTAATTTACTAAATCACACTAAATTTGAATCGAATCCGATACCAAACACCCCCTAGGAAATCAAATTAATTGATTTAAAAGCAAAAGGAAATGATCCAGTGATGATAAGAGAAGAACAGGCTGTTGAGGAATGCCATGTTTATGAAAGTCACGAAACAAATAATTTCGGAAAAAATAGTTGCCAGGAGGCGAGGCACAGCAGATAGGAGCGATATCAGCGGCAATTTCCGAGCAGGTGGGTCTCGAGAGCGAAGATGATGATCACGGCGACGGTGAGGTACAGAGTCGCGGCCACGGCGACGATGACGGCGACGGCAAGGGTGATAGTAGCGGCGACGGCAAGGGGCTATTTAGTGAAATAAAAAAAAAAATCTTTAAAAGGAATGTTAATATTTTGAAAATATTTGGATAAGTGTGAAGTAAATTAATACATTTAGGCTTCGTTTGGGACGGCTTTCTTTCTGCTTCTTAAAGCATCTTCCTAGTTTTTGTACTAAGAAGTTGCTTTAAGAAGCAACAAGAAAGCCGTTCCAAACGAAGCCTTAATTAAATGTGTTTTTTATTTAAAGTAAAATGAATGTAATGTAAAGTCTAAAGATGGTGATGGTAGCCGTTGACGAGTGATAAAGGTGGCGGTGGTGGTTGGAGGCGGGTAGAGGATGCCAACAGTGGCGGCAAGCGGTGGTTAAACGAGCTTGCTTGCTTGCAGTGTAAATCATTCTCACTTGAAACTAGACGAGTTTTATTTATATCAAAGATGAACAATAATGATTTACATTAATTTTTTTTTTCATCCAACTAAACATTAAAACTTTTAAAATCAATACATTTGGAATGCTTTAAGTTATTGTAAAAAACATAGTTTTTAGCATACTTTTTTTAAAAATAATAAAAAAATTATGACCAAATAAAAATTATGACTGAAATTTGAAGAAAATAAAAATAATAGGAAAGTTGTCTCGAACTAAGCTTAAATAAAATTTTAGTAAGAGCTAAATTAGTCTTTTTTAGCTAAAATCAAAGTTTAAGTTAGGGCAATATAATGTGGGCAATGTTACTCGAAATAAATTGATGATATCAAGCTCATCCATCTTATAAATAATATTTTTTATCACATAATATTTAATTATTTATTCTAGATAGTGATGAGTGGCTACTAATGATAAGAGAGTGCAAGACAACACTACGCATGAAAAAGAAGAAGCTTGTGATGAGTAGCTTACCCATACTAGGAAAAGTTTAAATGATTGAGTTAAGTAGTTCATTTTGATCTGGTTGGGAGCTTTAATTATCAATCAAGATGTTTTAAATTTGAAGCTTGCATATTTATTGTGTATTCTTGAGTTTGCATTAATTGACTAACAAGTCCCAAAAAAATGATAATGCTTTACTTATGAGGAGAGGTGACTAAGAGCAAATGACAAACAATAACAAATGAGAAAACTTGAGATAAGCGGTGGATGGAGAGAAGGAGAAATTATTTTGTGCGGAGTCTGGACATAGCTCTGTGTCGAGACTCCAATAAAATCGTGACACTCGGATTGTACACGTAGATTTCTTAAGACCCGATGACCCGACCCGACCCAGATCACAACAACAACAACAAGTCTTTGTCTCACTACGTGGGGTCGGCTACATGAATCCTTTTGCTCCATTGTGTCATGTTAAAAGTCAAATTTTCATCTAAATCTAATAAAGAAATATAATTTCTATTATTTTCTAACCAAGTCTTGTTAGGTATATATTTACTTTTCTTAATATAAGTCAAATATAATACCTATAATTTTCTAACCATGTCATCAGAAGGTCGTTGTTTTATTTATCTAACCAACCCAACCCATACCAGCTATAAAAATTTTGAAATCGCGGCAACCCACTAATTGTTTATATTTAAAAAAAAAAACTCACTAAAGCTCTCAAATATTTAGGATGTTTGCAGAATAAAACTTTTGGTGCCTGTTAAGGAAAAAAAAAAAGATAAACAAGCAATAAAGATGGAGACTAGTTTGGAGGACTTCGCATTCTCTACAGAGCCATTGAAAAACAAGAAAAAAACTCAAGAGTAAGATGATTTTACTTACATAATATCTTCTTTTCAATGTATATTATTAGGCAATATGCATCTTTACATTTTGTTGAGCTTAGATTTTCAATAGAAAAATCTTTCATAAAGGCAATTACAATATAATTGTATTCACCTTCAAGGCATATCAAGTTCTCAAACAAACTCAAATTCTTCAACTAGGAATTTAGAAACTCGGCAGGGATGGTTTATGTGTGTTTCGTTGTGTTTCACACATATTCACTTAGAATGTATTATGTAAAATTTTATATGTCGAATGCTGCGAAAACGAATACTTCTGTAAATAAATTATGTAAAATGACAAATTTGTGGACATTCATTTATTCTCTCAAATAAAATTATTATGTGTTTTTCCTCTTTCATTTATGTGGTGTTTTTGTTCATTTTAATGTTGTGTATCGTTATTGTATATTATTGTGTACCATTGCTATGTATCAATGTTTATTGTTAATAACAATGACCTTTTTATGATGAAAATCTTTCTTTCCTATGAACTTCGAATGTTTTCTTACAAAACTTAATTCAACAAATCTAAATTTTTTATCAAAAAGAAGACCTACGTGTTCATTTGTTAGCATAATTTTGCATCACACATTAATTTTGTTATCTGTTCAGTACAAAATCTAGCAATAAAAAAAGTTATGGCCGGTTTGCTGTTGTGCTTGAATAACGATGATCCTAATAAATTTTGGTCATGCTGTTGGACTTTAACCAAAAACAAGTATGATCATAACAATTCAATATTAGTGGTCATCACGATTAAGCTATGAATTTAAACCAGTATTCTAATTGTTAACTTATCAAATATCCTCAGACTAGCTATAAAATATGTTCATTTGCTCGCATTTTTTATACACATCAGTACATAGCAGTGGTACACATTGGTACACACTAGTACATAACATCGGTACATAGTAGTACACGACATTAAAATGATCAAAACATCACGTAAACTAAATAAAAATATGAGTTTTTCTTTATTATTCAATGAACAATACTAAATAACTATGTATTTCTTAATCAAATTTCCAATATGGAATGTTGTAAACCTTCACGATAATTTCAATCAATGTTAAATAATTGCTTCCAAGGCATGATTGTTTTCTTGCATCTGAATCAATATGACTAGTACACATCTGTACACAGCAATGCTACA